CGAAGAATTTTATTTCTTGCGATAAAAAATTGTTAGTGGAATTAGTTATGGAACGAAAATCAGTAATAGAAAATCAAACGAAATAAAATATCTACAAATATGGTAAAGAAACAAGCATTGGATGAACAGTTTAATCAAAATTTGCAATCTTTTAACACACATCACTGTCATTAATCACACTTATCGAGTCGATATCGGTGCTTGTTGCATGCGATATAGTTATCGATCCGATATCGGTCCGATATCTCCTATCGACCCTTTCAGAAACCCAAATGACCGATATCGCCATAGTTATCGATCAACAGCGCAATATCGGTTCGATATCTACATGCATTTTCGTACGAGAAACCGGCCACGCCGTCAAAAGATATCGATCCGATAACTATTGCTCCGATATCTATTCGATATTATAATGTACGAGAAACCGGGCATAATACTCGCTAGTAAATTAGTGTATGTGTTTTCATTTTCAATCTGACTTGTCTGACGTTTGGCATCATAACGAGAACCATGAGAAGACGAAGTTGTTATCATACGATTCCTCATGTTATTTGCTAAACTGGTATACAGCTGTGCAGTATTTATGGGTACAACTCTACCCTCATGAAGTTGTATACCTTTGTATGTATTTTCTGAGATAGAGCACAAAAGTTTATCAAGTTTGGGTCCTGGTTGAGTAGTCATGGAGTCGAAAATTCGAATTGTAGTTCTTATAGCATTATCAGCTTCAACAAGAGTAATGTTTTGACGCTGCAATACTTCTGACAAATCTCCCATTTCATCAAGAGCGTCAGACATAGCATGTAGATTTTTTTTAAATTGTACATCAGTCATAATGTTGAGTAAACCATTGTATTTGGCCCTTTCTTTTGTATCTCTAGTCAAATCCTTAGAGGCTGTCTCAAAATATTCACAAAGTGCTTGGTAGTTATGTAATACAGCATTGATTGTACGTTTGCTTGATGCAACCCATCGAACAAATAAAATTCTTCCGATTCTTAAAATTTGCGAAGCTTCTGCCTTTTTAAGCTCATTTTGGTGTTTGGGTGATAGGTACCACTGACTTCATTAACGCAGTCATTGACAGCAAGCTCTAATCTGTGATTAGAGCAGTGCCACACTAATAAATTTGGAAATATTGTTTGCAACCGCGTTGCTACTCCGGATTTCTTTCCAATTATAACCGAGGCTCCATCACAGACAAAGGCTATGAGGTACTCTTCCAGAAAAGTTTGATCAAAGCCATATTTATTTAGGCATATCAAAAGATCCTTTGTGATATTTTCAGCAGTTGAATCAGTCAGCTCAATTAAGTCAAGATTAAAGACATAGGTACCGTCTAGATTTGACGAGGAATCTTCGAAATTTGACCTTATTACTACAACCAAAGTCGTTTTTTTGCTTAGGGTTGTTGACTCGTCTATCAAAACTGATATTTTCCTTTTATTGTCAATAATATTTTTGCATATGGCGTTTTTCATTTCAAATGCGATATGAGTCACAATGTCATGACACGTTTTGTCAGAATGTAAAATCTTACCCATAGTTAGTCCATTTGAAATTTGTAGATCTATATCAACAGGCAGATCAGTAAACGGCCTTTGATTTTTCGCAATTTTGTAAACAGTTCTGAAAACTCGTTCAGTGGTAGTAAATAATGTTTCATTCATTTTGTCAATGCCTCCTTCAATGGTCTTTTTTTTGCATGCTCTAGAATTTCTATGGCCTTTTTATGAGCTTCCGAATGTTTGTGTTCAAATATTTTTTTACGTAGGCTTGATTGCTGTGACTCCCGAGTCTTTCCATTTTCTGTCACTGAACATTCTTGCCACGGTTTTGAAGAATCCACTTTGCCACAAACTAATCAGCCCAAAGCCTTACTTTCGACGATGAGCCAGTCATTGTTTTCTTTGAATGTCTGGTACTGGCTTACATTCCAACAAGCAGGTATGTGTTTGTGCTGGGAAGATTTTGATAATCTTTTCCAGTACTGTTTTCTTATTGCTGATCGGACTAGTCTCGTCAGGCTTGTGTGGCCTCTTTTTAAGCCAATTTTGTAGATTATTCATTTTAAATACCTACGCGACCGACACTGGACCTACAACGACATTGTCAATACAAAAATAGTAAGGTTAAAATTTTTTATTTATTGTTAGATGATTAGAATGCATACACACTGTCACTTCAATAAACTATCAACACTAATCCTATCCACCAACAAACAGGAACGAAATGAAAATAACACAGTCTATATCTTTTAAGATCAAAGACAAATGCATTTGTTGAAACTATGCTTCCAAATGCCAATGCGAACTCGGCTTAATCATGCCTATGCGCACACATACATCGTCGTCACGAGAGATCTAATTGTACGCGCGGTTTTTAAACTGAAAAGCAAAACTTTTACGAAACGGAACGGTGATTTCACGAACCGGAACAGCGTTCCGGTCCATTTCGAGCACTGAATAAAACCATAACATTCCATTTAAAATAACGATTTTGTGGACTACTTGGGGTGGACCATCCTGAAAAGATTTTAGATCCAAAGACTGAAATCAACAGCCCATATAAACAAAATTTCAGAAACGTAGGTGTAATGGAATAAAAAAACCTTTTTGGCGAACTTTTACGATTTTTGTTATACATTTTAATGTTCCAGAATGAAAAACGTCTAATTTTTAAAGTTTGGAAACGTTCCAACGGAGTAAGCCATCCCGATATGGATTCAGATATCATAATTGGTTTTGCTGGTTTAGACCTGACCGTTTTAACCGCAGGAATGCCCAACGTTTCCAGTTGGTTTAACATTTTAGATTTTTCCAGTAAATGTAATGGTCAAATCAAAGTAAGTATCTCAATTTTAAGTTACTTCTTTAATAAAAAAACAAAAAATTACAACAGATAACAGTGACCCCACAAGAAAACGTTAAAGGTCAATATAATTATAAAAACATTCAAAAGAGTTTAAAACCTATTTTGGATAATAACGAAAAATTTGAAGAAAAAAACAAAATTGAAAAGTTCGTAGAAATCGATGAAGAACCTGGAGAAGTTTTAAGTCGAGCTTTAAAAAGAAAGTTTACTGAACTCGATGAAATTACACAAAGGTTACGTTTAAGATTGTCACATGTAACTAATGACGAATCTGATACTTCAAATGACGATGAATTCGCTGATGAATTTGAAAAGGATATTAATACTCAATGTGAAGAGGATGTCGAAATGGACGATTTTAATAAATTAACGGAAAATTATCAATTGAATTCAATTGATGTAAATCCATCGACATCTAGAAATGTTGATCCTTTGGATCGTCATTTACTTGAAAGTCGTTTAAAATTGGATAGTTTATTTGAAAAATTAGCTTTGTTATCAAATAACGATCCTGCTCAAACCTTTTCCAATCGACATATTTCTGGTTGTTCTGTGTCTAAAGATAATAATGATGTTGAAAATAATGCCAGGTGTAATATAGATATTGAGGAGAATTCTTTTATAAGCGAACTTAGTGGTCAAAATTGTATCGCAACGAGACGTGCTCCTGAAGGTGCAGGAAATAATAAGTAAATGGTTTCTTTTATTGTGTCTAAAAGAATTTTTAATAATGTATTGTAGTGTAAGATATAAAATGGTTTTTATGTAAGGTAGTATTTAATAAAAAATAACACTAATCGATAAAGAAAATGTTTTTTATTGTTTTAATTTTATTCTTAATATCTTAAATTTCCAAATATTTTTAAGATTTGCAAAAATATGGTTAAAGTTGGATCACTATTAAATTACCTTTATCCAATCATCGCTCTAATAATTACGAGCTCATTATTAATATTTCGTAGAAGTGCTACAGGAATAATGTTTCTATTTTATTGTTTTACATCCGGGCCAAGAAGAAAAATCATAAAAATCGTACTATTTTAAAAAATAAAGCAATATTTTTCTACAAATTTTATTTTCCGTTCTTGCCCCGGGTTCATAACTATTGTAGAAACATGACATACGATAAATTAATCCAATACATTAATAAATAAAGTAGTAATTGGAAATCTACGGTGACAATCTCAGTTAAGGAGCGTTAAGGGTACTCAATATTCCTCGCCTGCAAATGATAACTTTCCAGACTTTGATGTAAATAACTTTATTTAAGTGTTATTTTATGGCAGAAATAAAACAAGAAAAATAAACAAGGTACTATCGCCCCAACCTTATTTACTACATGGCGTAAGGGACAGAAAACAAATCCCCCGCACGGTCGCTTTGCCGAGTACGGTCGAAGAAACGGAGACTGGAGGGGCGTACTCATTTTCTCTCGAACCTTTGCTCTAGCCTTGTCGTCTCTTCAATCCTGAAGTGCCGGGCGCCCGACGCCAGCTTAAAGTCGAGCGCGCCCTGGATTCGAACAAAAATACACAATTTCGTTTTTACAATTCAAATAACTGGACCAATGTTATGACGTAGTCGATTTTAAAAATTCATAAAATAGTCAAATATATTCATTAAAATAAAATAATTGAACTTTAATAAGTGAAAAAAATTGTTTCTTAATTTTAAATACGTTTCTGTACTGTATATCTTCGTAAAGTTAAAGAATTTAGTTAAAATTCGATGTAAAAATCGTCTCTTAATTTCCATTAGTAATATTTTTTTTCTAATCTCATTTAAAATGGCATTTTAACCGTTTAATATTATAGAAAGTCTCAATAATTTCAAGCCATTTACGACCATTAATGCGTTTACGCACCGTTTCTTCACATTTTTTTGCGTATTTTTGACATAAGGCTTTTGCGAATTTTTTTTTCTTGAGTTGATATATTTTTTTTGTAATAAGTCTTAAAATTTTACAATAATTTCTCACCTTCATCGTAAATGGGTAAACAATAAACTTTTTATTTTTTGTACACTTTAGTAATGTTAAAAAATTTATTACCTTATTCACATAAGGTAATATAAAATTTCTGTTGAAACTACCTGTAAACTGAATTTTATAGATTGTTATTTATGAGCATGATAATATTCCATATTATAATGAAAAACCATTTGATTTTGAGTATATAATTCATTTATTTACAAAGAAAATTTTATGAATAATAAAACATTTTATTATATATACTTTTTTTTTTTGCGCAGAGTAGGGGAAAATGCCTTACGCACCCCGGCCTACTGATGGCGCCTATAGTTTGTGGGTCGGAAAAATCGTATTTCGGCCGGGAGTGTGGGCCTACAATTAATTAGCCCCTGCTACCCACTAAAAACCCCCTCTCTCTTCTCCCGGACCACCCGGATTTCTGCGGAAGTCGTTGTATCCAGGATTCAATTGCAAGAAAAAAAATATTGATGGTTAATATTAATGTTATTAAGGTTGTCTCAACTTACCGGCTTTGGAAGGGACTCTTCATCCCGCGGGATGAAGAGTTNGGCTGTAATCCGACCTATGCTTACATATGGTGCAGTAGTATGGTGGTCAAAGACCCTACAGTCTACATCTACTGCTGCACTTATTAAAGTACAGAGACTTGCGTGTTTGTATGTTACAGGTGCGCTGCGGACTACCCCCACTGCAGCCATTGAAAACATGTTAAACCTAACGCCACTTCATTTGTTCATCCAAGAGGTGGCATTGGTGACCATAATTCGACTGCGAGCAGCAGGAATTCTAATGGGTGAGAGAAACAGTAAAAATGCCAATCTCTGGAACGAAATGGTGGAATACTCACCAATTCTGGATTGTGTAACGGACATTACACCCCTACAACACATTTGCTGTTAGTCCTCTCTGTCGCCTCTGTAAAGAGAGCGAGGAGACGGTCCGACACATCTTGTGTGAATGCCCCACTCTGCAAGACCTCAGAATGAGAGACTGCGGAGAGGAATGGCCGACCACATATGGCATCAGGAACACACCTCTGAGCTGTATCCTAGCCTTCGGAAATTCCTTAGGCTGGTTGATGTAGCCGGAGAGAGTGTAGGAGGACGTACAAGGGGCCCGTTGGGGCCTAGGTGCTGTATGCGGAAGCATACCCTCCGCTTTCCTACATACATACAATGTCAATCAATTAGAAGAGTTTTTATTAGTGGGAGAACCGACTCTTATTAGCTATAAATTTCATTATATCAGTGTGGGTATGATGTCCACAATATAAATAAGATAATATATTTTAATAAACAATAAAATGAACCACATTTGAAATACTGATAGATTGATAATGTGAATGATAATAATAATTTTATATGGTAATGTGGTTTTGTTTGTACATGTCGTACGCACAGCATGCTACAGCCACTTCCCCTCCTATAAAGATTAATAAAAAGAGGAATATGGTGGTTAAAAAAAATTCATATATAAAAATTGAAAGTAACTTTTTTTTGAATTTTTATGTTTTGAAAATTGATTACCTCGCTGTGGTGACATGCTGAGTTTTCTTTTAAAAGAAATGCTGGTTTAAGGTTGTTGATATTAACAGCTACTTTCTTGTTATTTTTGAAAATTACAAAATATTTCGGAAATGTTTTTATCACTTTAAATGGGCCTTCATATCTTGGTGTTAAAGAGGGTTGAATCCCATTCATTTTGACAAAAACAAATTTTGAAATAAATAAATGGTTTTTGGTTAGAATGAAAAACTGTGTTTACTGGTTTCAAACAAGAGAATGTTTGTCGTAAACTCAGTGGCGGACTAAGGCTAAAGCGGGCCCTAAACAACATTGTAATTTCGGACCTATTTTTCAGTCATGAGTCATGACACATACTTTGCGTTGGGTAGTTTGGTTTTAAAGCATACAGGGTAATTCAAATTCAACCCCTACCATTGGGATCTCAGAAACCATAAGAGATACAGAAATGGTTAAATTGCGTATCTTAGAGCTCATCATTTTTCAACTAATGCCGGGTTTATACAGAATTTAGCTGTAAATTTAAATTTAAGAATTTAGATTTAAGGATTTTATTTAGCTTTAAGAAAAAAATTGATTTATACAGAATTTAAGATTTACAGAATCGCAACCTCAAGAAACAAAATATTACTGGTTTTTGTGTTGTCATTTTCTACCAATATGTTATCTTTATGTTCAGAACATTTTTTATCGTAAATATATCGGTAGTTCTCAACAATTTTAANATGTTTTATTATTAATAAAATTTTCTTTGTAAATAAATGAATTATATACTCAAAATCAAATGGTTTTTCATTATAATATGGAATATTATCATGCTCATAAATAACAATCTATAAAATTCAGTTTACAGGTAGTTTCAACAGAAATTTTATATTACCTTATGTGAATAAGGTAATAAATTTTTTAACATTACTAAAGTGTACAAAAAATAAAAAGTTTATTGTTTACCCATTTACGATGAAGGTGAGAAATTATTGTAAAATTTTAAGACTTATTACAAAAAAAATATATCAACTCAAGAAAAAAAAATTCGCAAAAGCCTTATGTCAAAAATACGCAAAAAAATGTGAAGAAACGGTGCGTAAACGCATTAATGGTCGTAAATGGCTTGAAATTATTGAGACTTTCTATAATATTAAACGGTTAAAATGCCATTTTAAATGAGATTAGAAAAAAAATATTACTAATGGAAATTAAGAGACGATTTTTACATCGAATTTTAACTAAATTCTTTAACTTTACGAAGATATACAGTACAGAAACGTATTTAAAATTAAGAAACAATTTTTTTCACTTATTAAAGTTCAATTATTTTATTTTAATGAATATATTTGACTATTTTATGAATTTTTAAAATCGACTACGTCATAACATTGGTACAGTTATTTGAATTGTAAAAACGAAATTGTGTATTTTTGTTCGAATCCAAGGCGCGCTCGACTTTAAGCTGGCATCGGGCGCCCGGCACTTCAGGGTTGAAGAGACGACAAGGCTAGAGCAAAGGTTCGAGAGAAAATGAGTACGCCCCTCCAGTCTTCGATTCTTCGGCCGTACTCGGCAAAGCGACCGTGCGGGGGATTTGTTTTCTGTCCCTTACGCCATGTAGTAAATAAGGTTTGGCCGATAGTACCTCTTTTCCACACATTCACAGGAAAGAAACCAACTTTTTTAAATTTTCTAAAATCTACTGAGTTTCTACTCTGTTTATCTCATTTCATATCATAACTTACAAAATTAGATTAAAGTAATGCAAACTTTACTAAGAATTATTTAAATTTAGTATAAATACAATCTTCAAACTAAAAGTCTAACCTCAAATGTCACAGACACGCCAAAAAATAAATTTTTAGGTTATGTGTTTTTATGGTGTATTGAAATAAACTTGTATTTTACAAAATATTAAAAAAAAAGTTAAGATATGAATAGATTTGAATATACAGACTCTTCATACGCACAAAACGAAACGTTTATGATAAAAGAAACCAACGTCCGGCTCTATGATGGTGATCAAAAGGTACCATTATTACAAACTCTGTGGTTGTTTACATTTATATCGAAGAAAATATATTTTATAGACCCCTTTTGAAAATGGAGAAATTCACTTAACGACCCATCGATTAATTTGGACTTACCCAAACGATCTACGTTTTAATGATGTTGTATTGTCACTGCCTCTACAATTGGTTATGTATTTTCAAGAAGAGAGCCCTGGAGCATTTAGTTTTGGTAAATCAAAAAAATTAATTTTGTACTTACATGATCCAAAACCAGGTTAGTTTTCTAATTAATAAGAATTATAGCGTTAATAATAAGATTGTTTTAGATAGAAATGAAGGTCCTCAAGTGGTGAGCCTTTACAACTTTATAAAATTGTCATTTAAAGAAGGATATACTAAAGATATGCCTCGTTATCTAAGTCAATGTTTAGAACAACGAAAATGGGAGGAAATTGTCAAGCCTTTGCAACAACGAACAATTGAGCTAAGAACTGGTATAGCTGGAATTGAACGTAAATTACAAGAAAAACATAAAAAAGCTGATGAAAGCATTTCCATTGCATTTCAAGATTTAAGTAAATTAATGGTAATGGCTAAAGATATGGTAAGATTATCAAACAATATTTCCAATAAAATCAAAGATAAGCAGGGCGATATCACCGAAGATGAAACGATTCGTTTTAAATCTTACTTATTAAGTTTGGGTATTGATGATCCTGTAACTCGTGATAGTTTTAAATCAGACAATACTTACTTTCGGAGTTTAGCCAAACAAATTTCTGATGTAATGTTTGATCCTATTACTGAAGTTGGTGGTATGATGGCTTTAACAGATGTTTTTTGTCGGGTAAACCGAGCTAGAGGTCTTGAACTTTTATCGCCCGAAGATTTATTGAACGCTTGTAAAACAATGGAGTATTTAGGATTACCATTAAAAATGCACAAATTTGATTCAGGTGTAATAGTGTTAAAGCTGACCACTCTCGATGATGCAAATGTATCCAATTCTACAAAAGAATTAATTGATGAAAATGGGTCTCTAACTGCTGAGGAATTAGCTAGGATTTTAAATGTTTCTGTAATATTAGCCAGAGAAAGGTTGTTTGTTACGGAAAATTTTGGAAAATGTTGTCGAGATGATAATATTGAAGGGTTAAGATTTTATCCTAATTGGTTTCTAACTAAAGATTATTAATCAATAATTATATTAAAACTGTAATTAAATTTAAACATGCTTTGTTTTATTAGCACAATAAAATGAATATAATTATTAATACAGAAATTCTTGTTTTACTGAGGTTTCACTTATTCATTCATATATAAAAAACACTTCTTCTCAGTATCAAAATGTTTAACAATATACAACATAAATTATATAAAACACTTAAAATTAACAATAATAGAACTAATTTACCTCAATTTTTGAAAAAAACTTTAACAACACAAATTTATGTAATAATGAACACATTGTTGAATATAATAACTTATTTTAAAAAAATAGAGTAACGAATTTAACAAAAGAAAAGATACCTAACAACATTATTAATGAATTGTAACAAGTCAGAAAAGATTTATATGTGACCTGGTCTACGAATAAGGGGCTTAGGTGTCAAAAAATCATTTTCCACTTTTCTGCTGATTCAGACTCAGTTTGAGACGCTCTTTCCAATGGTGAAACCAAAAAGTCGTGACTTATTTATCAATTTGTTTAACGTACAAATACGAAAAAACAGAAATTTTTGCTGGAAAAATACATCGGATTATAAGATAAAAAATATGATTATACTCCCGAAAAATGTATTCTAGGCCAAAAAAACATATTTTATTGAAAAAAAACATATATTTTACAATACTAAGTAGTTTTTGAATTTTTGTTCGTCGTCGTCTTTTTTGAAACCTTTTTACATGTAGGTTGTGAGGAAGATGGATCTTCTTCCGCTTCTGGTTTGAGAATATCACTAACCTTTCGTTTCTTCGATGCCAACTCTCTCTTGGGTAATGGAGCTACCATATCTACTTTACTTGCATCCGAAACTAAGCTACGAAGATTGTTATAGATACCACTGCCGCTTTAAAGATAAGCCAGTTGGTTGTATAATTTCCGGCATTCGACCATCGATAGGTTTTAACAGGAACTGAAACGACTGGACGTCCTCACTGTCTGCAAATTGCTTCGTTTTTACACAGTCCGTACTGATTATGAATTGTGTTATGCCAATCAGTGATTTATAGAATGGAGCTTTGGTGGAACTTTCTCGGAGGATACAACTTTATTATAACTACCTGGCGACGATTGTACCATGCACTTCAGTAAATCTTTATACGTGTCGATCTTACTGATAACGTACTTAGCCTTAAAAATGCCGAAGAAACGATCGGGCGCAAATTTCGTATGACCAAAAAGCAGGAAATTTAATAAAATCGTTTTGTTAAGTCCTCGAGCCAGTCGCCATTGCAAATACGACAGCAGAACATTATTTTTGTTCTGCCCAACGCAATTGTGTTTCAACAAGTGTTTCTATGTCCTTACAGTAGGTTTGCAGGTGATAATGCTGGATGCTCACAACGCAGTTCGGTCCTTTGCCCACGTCATCTTTTTCGTCTATTAAGTAATTATACTGTAAAAAAGAATTATAAGTAAGATCTTGTAAAACCGAGGAATTTGAGTTCGTATGACACAGTTTGAAATCCAAACCTGAACTTTTTGTTTTTTGTCTGTAATTCCAAAGAGTGCGCACTTCTTCGTTGCTTTAAAGTAAGCCGTAGCGGGTTGTTGTGGACTGACGGAGTAACGGACCGTTTGAGCAAACTCGAATGACAGAACCTTTGCTGTATCATCAGTATGTCCACACCAATTTTGATAATATGCTCGAAGATTTGGAGCTTTGTGAAGATGATTGAGAAATTTATTGAGTTTCTGTTTTCCTTCAATGTCAGGAACGTTTTTGACTTGCGCAATTGATAGCGTGTTTTCTATTGAAAAAGAAGACTCAATTCAATCTCATCGTTTCATACAACCGTAGAATAAGCAAACAATGACCTACTTACCACGACAGAAATCGTAGAGATCATCCGCTGGTTTCATTACTGTAACTAGGGTATGTACTTGTTCCATATGCGTCGAAAACTGTGATTAGGCATCTTCAATTCGTCATTATTGAATGAAGCAATTTACTTTCGATAAATTGAAGACTTTGTCTCGTTCGATAGCAATTTCATGACACGATAATGTTTAAATTGTGGAAGTCTTCCGGGCAGTGGAAGAGCTAATAAATCGGCTGTGTACTCAATGAATTTGACAGCTTTTTGGATATCGGCCGCTTTAAATGATTTCGGATTTGTACATCCTTTATTTGCTAGTCCATGTAGTCGTACTGTTGCACCGTGTTCTTGAAAATGATGTACTAAGATGTACTAATGATGTACTCTAAACAATGGTTTCTCGTATTCTTGATCATTTTTTGTGGTATCATTGTATGACATTTATTATTACAACAATCTTTTGAGAGAAATTTGGTTACCAGCTCCTTTTCCTTTTCATCGACAACAGACAACTCCAACCTAACCCAACTTTGTTCCATATTATCTTCTGCCTGAGAGAAATGTAGTGAATCATCATCACCATTCGAATTAAGGTCGTTGTCGGACATGTCATTGTCCTGGCGTTGTCTTCATCGTTTTCACGAAAATATTGTCTGTACACGGCACTGAACTCCTCATCAGCACTCATTTTTCATTATTTTTTTGTGATGCGAAAGACCAACAGAAACGACATAAATGTCATTACGAAAAAAACGGCCAAGTCACTTCTTCAGTTAAAAGTTAACTTACGCGATTAACTACGATAATATTCTGAGCTGAAACAAAATTTTGACATCTTTCAACCCCGGCCAACGTAGAAAAAAGAGAACAACTAATGATAAACTGGCGAACCGAGTTGTTTATCTTTAACAGCGATTTACACGAAAACTAATTTTCGAACGTAAGCCCCCTTTTCGTAGACCAGGTCACATATATTAAATTCGGGTAAGTACAGAAATATTTTGGGAGTGGGGACAACGGATGAGGGACTCGCGAGAAGAGCAGAGAAAAAGAATATGACATTATAGGAACGTCTAATACAGTGTAGAAATCCTTCATTTGCGCGGTTAGCGTTCCCCAAAAAAATTGTACGTTAATTGTCGCGAAGGGCTTTCGTTTTTTTGAAATACTTCATTGTACATACAATGAAGTATTTATCACATGCTGAACACTTTAATGTAAAAATAGATCGCAACCCAAAACGTTGTTCATGATGTGGTTTCAATAACCCAAATATACATTGTTTTGCATGTTTGTACTGTATTTCTAATGTAGCTGTCAATAAAAAATTGATATCTACTATTCTATTTCCCTTCAATATAACTACGTCCTCTGTTTTGTCTTGCTCTACGTACAACTGATGAGACATAATGCTCAAAACACATATTGAAAGCTTATACAACATTCTTATAATGGTTTTATAATGATAAAGGAATCGGATCTTCCTTGAAAATTGAAAAAATTATGAATCTTTCAAGATATGTACAATTTGATCCAAATTTATTGTCCACATAGACTATTCCTGAAACTATACCAATTAGAAAAAAGTAGCTAATAAGTCGCGATCTCTTATTTCGAACTTAAGACCTAAAACTTCAAATCCCTATCGATTATGCCTTACAGGCAAAAATTGAAAATTTCATAAAACCAATAACTCTAATTATCTTGTTGTAATTGTATGTCGGGTATTATAATTTGGATATTGTACACGAACTTTTTGACCTTAGCTTATTCTAACCTGTATTATCTCATTCTTGTCAAAATGTTCAATGAAATGAAATTCAAATTGTACATATCCCCAAAGTTTCAAAATTATTTTCATTTTTTTGATGGGATTGTTCCGAAACTATCTTTGGATCCCATGGATCTATTTTATTATTATTATCATTTATTTTCTCGATGCCACAAATTGGCACTGAATCTACAACTGTTGACCCTATTGGCTGTGCAGATTTTTCAATTGGTCTACAATAAAATTATTAGGTATTATTATTAGGATTCTCTCAACCGGAAAAAATAGACGGTTTCCAAGTACTTACCCTTCTGATAATTCTTTCCTTTTCTGCCAAATCTTTTTCCAAGTGCTAGATCTTTTAGAGCGTTTACAAACCTTACTTGGATGTTTTTTTACCATTTTTACTAAAATAATACTACACTATTGTAAAGTCACTGCCTTATAAATCACTATAATCATTAAAATTAATAGTACAGTTATCGTAATATTCTGCGTGCACGCGGAGATTCTAGTAGTACGACGTCAAAAGCCGAAAGACTAAATGATATTTTTGTTGAGGTTTCTTACAACGTAAAACTTATCTTTCTTCGTGATTAGTTTCATACCCTAAACGGAAACAAGCAAAAAAGTAAAGCACCTAGATAAACAAACGGAGCAATAAAATCAGGTATAATGACGGCGTCGAGCGCTTGTTTTACCCCGAACAGTTTGCCCACATTTTATTTCCTCGCGTTCTCAAAAATCATGAAATTTTTTTTTAAAATTGTTAGGTGAAAACTATGTATTTACTATGAAGTATTTTATTTTATTAGTTTACCCTTCTGTTATCTAATTGTTATCCGATAAACTGTTTTCAAGGAAAGGAAACGAGGTTTTTCAAAAAATATAACAGAAAAGACAGTCATTATTAAAGTGACCAAACGTTCTAGACAGCCATACTCGGCACCAAAACATACTCCATCATGTTGCTTAAGCATGTTCTGAATCCTAAATTGATATCCCAAAAATCAAGTGTTCTCTGATTTTTTGAACAAATGTCTGCTGGAGCAGATTTTTCTAGAAAAATTCGAATAACTCGAGTACGGCCGAATCAAATTCTAAAAAGTAAAGTCATTCATAAACCTTGAAAACAGACAAATCCAAATATATGAAAATATACAGGGTGTTCCATTTAAAAAAATAAAGTAGGTGGCGACTTCCGGTATAACCGGAAGTATTAGATATCTGAAAATATTTTAGTCGAAGAGAACGCAATTGATAATACTTAAATCTGAATTTTCAAATTTTAATTTTGGCCAGAACCCTGTAAAGTTCTAATAGACGGTCGTCGTGGATGACCCTGTATATATTTCTTCCATAATCAGTACCAATACAATATGTATATACATGTATATATGCTGTATTATTATGTTGTTTGGGTGAAGATGCAACTCCTGGAAGGTATGGACCTCACCGAAGAAGAAAATAAGGATCCTGTGAAGATAATGGAAAGGTTGGATACTCGTTTCTTACCTACAAGTAACAGTAGCGTAGAAGCTCACAAATTTAATAATAGAAATCAATTACCGGGGCAGTCTTTTGATTCTTTTATAAGCGAATTGAGAAAATTGGCTGTTAATTGTGATTTCGGAGAATATAAAGAACGACTCATAAAGGATCGAATCGTAAGTGGAATTAGAGATGGAGACAGATTGTTAAGGGAAGTAAATTTAACATTGAAAAGAACAATCGATATATGTAAAGCAGCAGAAGCGACAGATCTACATATTACAATACAATATATTATAATACAGGATCGAGGTATGGTACAAGATTAAGTTATAAGGGCTCAGTAAGGATCATAAACAAGTTGACAACATGAAAAGGATGGAAAATAAACCAGGAAATGGAAACACAAGGGGATTTGGTTCAAGGACAAAGAAAAAACTGTAATAGATGTGTTTTTTTTTACATGCATATAGATCATGTCCGGCATATAACAAAACATGTAAGAAATGCGGTAAACAAAACCATTTTGCCAAAATGTGTAAATCTAGACAAATTAATATCGTAGATAATAATAAAGTAGATACAATTGATGTCCATCAATATATTAGAAATAAAAACCATGATTGTGCAGCTAGACAATAAAGTTGACAGTCTTGAAATATTCTAGACGTAATTGTTTGATTGTACACAGAATCGAGGATAATGAAAAGAATGACGTTGGCTCTCTTCTTACTCGTTTTTTTGCGGACACATTAAAAATTCCTGAGTTCAACTTTAACCTTTTACTCGTTGATAGAGCACATAGAATGGGGAAAGAAAAGATTATCAATAAGGGAGGTATGTCTCATTCCAAACCGCGGCCAATAATAGTCAAGTTCATATCTTATGCTACTCGGAACATCGTGTGGTCCAATAAGAAGCTACTCAAAGGGACACGTTGTATGTATGTAGTTTCATGTGAGGTTGGTTAAACCACAGGTGGTATAATCAAAGCACTTAGGCCCCAACGGTCCCTTTGTACATCCTCACGGTTTACTTCGGCCATGTAGGTCTATTTGGAGGAGTGAAAGATGTTCGAAGATGGCATCCGATCAGGCTGATTACCGCTTCTCGCCTCGCCTTCAGCCGGGCTGGTACTCCAAAGCCCAGCAAGTCCACTAAATCTGCAAATGATCTCGATAGATATAAATGTTTGAGGACAGATACAGCCCGTGAAATCAGAGCAGCAAAGCGAGGTTATGTTGACCGCACTTTAGCTAGTGGTGGCCCGCATGGACTTTGGAATGCATTAAAAAAATTAGATGCTTTGAATTCTAACACTTTGGCACTGCCGAACTGTTTGAATGATGTTGAAGCAATAAATGATCACTTCATTCAGACGTCGGTGGGGACTCCTGTGGTAAGTCAAGATCTACTAAGTTATTATCTACACAATAAAAAATGTAATGACGATGTGGAGTTTGAATTTGCGCCAGTTGAGGAGTACGTTGTGGTGAAATATTTACTCGAGATTAAGTCGATGGCAGTGGGCTCGGATGGTATATCTATACATATGTTGCGACTGTGTTGCCCATTCATTTTACCATTCGTTACACATATAGTCAATTTTTGCTTGAAGAACTCAGTATTTCCATCGTGTTGGAAAACGGCACTAGCGACA